GACGAAATGCAAGAAGAGCTGGACAATGCTGCCCCCGTCCACGAAATTCCAGGAGCTTCATTCGCACCACCTCCTATTACTCTTGAAGAAGTTCTCCGCGCCATCCATCACCAAAATCAAATGAGTGCCGCACTGGAAAGAAGACAACAAGAACAATATGACTATTTATGTGCACAAAACACTCAGATTCTGATTGGCCAGCAGAGCATGAACGAGAGGTTGGATGAGGCCCTGTCTGAACTTAATGCCTTAAGGTTGGACGTCAACACCCTTGGTTACCAGGACACTGATACCGAAGCCACGCCTACCAGGCGTTCTCGCACCAGGAGTAGAGGACATGGCCATCAGCAGTTTTTCTTATTTTCTAAGTAGTTTACTTTTTCTGTCTCATTTCCTTTCTGTTTGTACTTGTATTTCCCCGCCTTTATGCCGCAACATTGAGGATAATGTCGGATTTAGTGTGGGAGAGGTACCTTTCCATATACCATAAACAAGTAATTTTTTACGTTATTTCTCAGTTTAAATTCTTTCCCGCTTTATTTAGCCATACCGAAATTTTTTGCTTTATCCTCGTGTTAGCCCGACATACGTATCTTAACGAAATCATAGTTAAGGAAGCCAAGAACGATTCAACAAGATCGATACGGTTATGACACCTTAGACCTCCTACTTACGTGATCCGCTTCAATGACCATTATACCTATATCTTGAGTTTTAGTTCTAAAGTAACCCCTAGTAGTTTATACTAGCAGTCAGCACCGTCTTGACACAAACCACGTGGGGAACCGATGAATATAAGTGTTGGATGCCTGACCAATGAAATATCCTTCTTACCTCGCTGCTAAAAAAGAGAAAATTTTTTGCACCAAAATACAAGGTCGCATATAAGAGACGAGCAATTAATGAAGGAGTCCATTGTCGGTTGGTTCAGAGGTATCTGGTTCTGAACTTGGTAGGGCGTGCTACGGCTCGATCCCCCATAACCTCCAATTTGGATAACATGTATAGGGTTGCCACATTCGTGTACCAGACCCCGTGCTAAAAGGATCAAAGTCACTAACCGGTTACTCCACTACGTGCGTGCTAAGACAAAGGGCTTAATGCGATTGCGCCAGAACAAAACCGGGTGAAATAGATACGAGAAACTCTAGGCAGAATTATAACGGAACTATTGGACAGTTCGTTTGAAATGGAAGCCCACGACTAAGCTTATTGCTTGTGTCATTAGCGTATCTTTAGTGTTTCACTTAAGTATCGGTCAAACTGACGAGGATTTCCCGTAATTGCTTTAAAAATCAAAGGTATGTCATGCATATGCGCTTGATAAAACTTGTCCGATCTTTCTAAACGATTATTTGCTTGAGGACAAGCAAAGGTTTAAGTATGGGGGGATTTGATAACGAGAAATCGTATCATATAATTACTACATTTTTAATCGATTTTCATAATGCATTAACCCATTTAACTCCCGATTATTCCGAGTTTTTATGTCTTTTCACAGGTACAACATGTTTCAAGTCAAATTAGTGAAAAAGGATCACATGAAGAAAGCTAACCAAAAATCAGAAGAAAAGGAACTAAATCTGCAAAAATCTGCATAATTTGATGTTGTGACGACCGTCACACCCCCATTACGAGCGTAACACGCTCACAACTTGAAGGACGCTCGTCACACATCATTGACGAACGTAACACTTTATTTAAGCGCATTACGACCGTCACCTCCTCATGACGACCGTCACACGCGTAATTCAACGTTATGCATAACAGAAGACGTGGGCAACATAATGGATGTTTTCTTCTCCTACAATTTCTCTCAACTGAAGAAACGAACAGTCCGAGTCTTCCTCCACTCAAGCATGCAAGTCCACGTTCCTAAATTCTCTTAACTGCAAAAATCCTCTTCTATAAATAGGAGGAATATTAATGGAACCAAGAGAAAGTTTTTGCTACAGATTTTCTTGCCGAAGCCCTACCAAAATTAAATACTGCATTTTTTGTTCTTGCTTTATTTTCCCCTTTTTCCAATTAATAACTATTTCCAACATTAGGAAATTGTTATTGTAGTCAAAATTTATTTCTAGCCTCAGAATTTGTTTCAAGTTCCGATTTCAAAGTCCCAATCTTGCCGACTTGTGGAAGAGGGAGCTTGAGGAATAATATTGTTATTCAGGTTTTTAAATCGCATTAAATTTTAATATAATTTGTTTCTGTTTATTTATTTATTTATTTTATCATGAATGCTTTATTCTGTCCCGATTATATTTTCTGTATGTCTGTTTCGAGTACTATGACTAGCTAATTTACTAGAGTCGGGATGTAATAATAGTAACCGAATGGATTAAATTGTACCTAAGCTAAAATATAAATTAACTTAATTCTAGCTGTGACTTTTTATAATTAAAATCAATCTTTTCATTACGAGAGTAAGAAAAGTAGAATAGGTTAGAATCGAGACCACGAGAGTGTGAGGTTTTAACCGGATAGCTAAAGTTAGGCA